TTCTCTTCATCCTTTCTCGAAAAGGAAGCCCCACAGCAGAGGCCTGGGTGCCACCCGGGCCCAAGCTGGGCTTGGATCCTGCCATCCCAAACGGCCACATAGAAGCCATCCTTGGCTGCTAATTCCTTAATGAGGCATTTTCCTCAGTTAAGGGTTCCAGTATTCAGAGGACCCCCTAGGAAAAGAAAAAAGGCTTTGGGGCCTGCTTGATGCTGTGTTACGTCCGAACACCGCTGTAAAGTCCTTGCCACTCGCTGCACACGCTGTTGACTGCGTTCACAGCTTTCTTAAGAGTTAGCCCAGAGCCAGTGGGGCGTGTTAGACACCGATTCCGAGTAATCAGTCGGGGTCATCCTTCCGAGGGCCTCTTTCCTTGGCTGCGCTTCCTCCTTTGTACGTCTCTTGCAGTGTGTGTGTGTGTGTGTGTGTGCGCACGCGTGCGTGCGCAAGCATTCGGGTCCTGCAGTTGTGCTCAGAAACAATTAGTAGTCCGTCAGGAGTTTCCTTTTTTCTGCCTGCCTGGGACAGCTTGGGCAGGCTGCGCACCTCCTCTGTCTTGGTGGTTAGTCACTGAAAGCGAAGATACCGGGACAAAGATAACCATTACAAAACTAACCATAAGACTTTATGAGACGTAGCACCTTAGAGGTCTCCGTGAAAAGCTAATCATAATTGAGGACTATGGACTGACTGTTGCCCGCATCCGCACACATAGGGAGCGTGCGTCACCTTGCCTGCCCCCTCTCAGCGGTGATGACCGATGGCTTGGCAGATGTACTCATGGAGCCCGTTTGGGAAATTTTTGGGTGGGGGGGTGTTGGAGCAGGGCAGAGATGTCTCTCAGACGGGTAACTCCTCACCTGCAGTGGCCCAGTGATGGCCCTGACGGCCGGCAGTAGCCACAGCCCGAGGAGGTCCTGCCAGTGCCGGGGAACATTTGTCATCTTCGTGGACAGTCTTGTTAATGCTGCCACTCTTATTCCTCCCGTCCCCTCCTCTCCCCCACACCCCGCACTTCACATTTTGGGCACAGCTTCACATCCCCGAGTCCTCAACCTTGGAGTCGTTCGTGCTCCTTGGAATAGAGACTTTGTCCTGTATTTTGCTCACTTACTCCTCGGTTTGTGTGTATCCCAGATATTTAGTACAGCTTAGTAATTTCTCTCCCCAAACCTGGCAGTGGAAGTGTGCACTCTTTCTTGGCTTTTAGGTCTCGGGCCCGTGGTGTGGGCTCTCTCTGTTGCCATCCCTTGCTAACCTGGCTTAAGTGTCCCCCCTGGAAAGTAGCTCCCAGAATGCTGCGGCTGGAAAGACCAGTGACAACTGGAGAGAACAGGCCCAGCCTCTCCGTTGTTGGTGGCTGCCACCCACATGTTTGCACCCAAACACATTCAGCTTGGTGCTTCCAGATGCTTCTGTGTTGGGCTCCATCTGGAACTGCATCCCTGGTGAAACTGTGAGAACACTGCCGGCAGAAAACAGGGCGAATGAATGACGAGACATGACTGTTTCGCGATGACTTTTGTTCCCAAACGGGTTTCAAAATGTGAGAAGTGGCAGTTGGTTCTGAACACCGTCTGCGGGTTGTCTGGTCGAGGACACGCGAGCGGCCATCTACCAGGTGAAACTCTTTCTTGGGGCCTGACAGAGTGAAGGGAGCCGCCCCTTAGCGTGCCGCTCTGTGCACTCGAGTCGCTCTGTCACTTTACCTCACCGAGCAAAAAGGACTTTCAGAGTCTGCTCTAGCCAAGGGGAAAACGGTCCCTCCTAGTGTCCACATCTACCCGGTGACTCGTGCCTCATTTTTTTGGGTAGGACCTTTCTATGAAATCACACAGCTCTGCAAGGGACGGGGTCTTTTCACCGTTTGGTCAGCGAGGGAACCGATGCCAGAGGGGTTAAGCCCGTGGCTTGTGGTTGGGATTCCAGTCCCTGCCGTCTGGCTCCAGAGCGACGCCACCCACCGCAGTCACGGGGTGGGCACTGACTTTTCCTGCAAAGGGCCAGCCAGCTAACATCCAGACACTGAAGGCCACACGGCCTCTGTGGCAGCTGCTCAGCTCTGCCGCTGTGGCATGAAAGCAACCATAAACAATGCATAAATGAAGGGAAAAACCAAAAATACCTTTATTTACAAAACTAGAGTTGGAAGCATATGAGTTTGGATGGCAGTGATGCCTTTTTAAAAGGCCACTGAGTTAAAGATGGTATGTGTTTTGCATGTTTATAAAACCGTGTGAATATCCAAACTTGTTTTTTTTTTTAATTAATATTGCTTATCTCACTAGAATCTTCCCTTCTAGAAAAAAGCCAGGACAGGGGCGCCTGGGTGGCTCAGTCGGTTAAGCGTTCCACTTCAGCTCAGGTCATGATCTCATGGTTCGTGAGTTTGAGCCCTGCGTTGGCTCTGTGCTGACAGCTTGGAGCCTGGAGCCTGTTTCGGATTCTGTGTCTCCCTCTCTCTCTGCCCCTCCCCTGCTCACTTTCTCTCTCTCTCTCTCTCTCTCTCTCTCTCTCTCTCTCTCTCTCTCAAAAATAAAACTTGAAAAATAATTAAAAATTAAAAAAGAAAAAAGCCAGGACATCTTTAGATGCCAAACAAATAAGTTAGGGAAGCTTTTTTCTTCCTTTTTTAAATGTAAGAATTCTCTAGCCTCATAAAACTACTCAGCACGTTGTAAATTTTACACAAGGGAGGATTTTACATATTTATGGACAGTTTGTTATAGGGGGGGTTGGACATAAAAAGAATCGAAAGAAGCTTAAAACTAAAGTGTTAAGATTTTGTTCCAACCTAGAAGTAAGCAAAAATGACGACAGTGAATCTGAAATCATCAACGCGTGTTTGGTTTGCCAAAGATAATTTTATGATGGCTATTGAAGAGCACAGTGAAACCTTGGATTGCAGATACCTTGTTCTGTGAGTGTTCTGTAAGATGAGCAAACATTTCTCATGAGTTTTTAAAATTTTTTTTTAATGTTTACTTATTTTTGAGAGAGAGAGAGCGAGAGAGAGAGAGCAAGCAGGGGAGGAGCAGAGAGAGAGGGGGAGACACAGAATCCGAAACAGGCTCCAGGCTCTGAGCTGTCAGCACAGAGCCCGACATGAAGCTCGAACTCACGAGCCCTGAGATCATGACCTGAGCCGAAGTCGGACACTCAGCCGGCTGAGCCACCCAGGCGCCACATCTCATGAATTTTAACTTGATAAACAAGCGATATCTTTCGGTACAAGCAGTAGGTGATGCCAGACATCACATCACAACTGAGCCGATGGTTCTTGAAATTCGCTTTGATATATGAGTGCTTTGGATTACAAGCACGTTTCCAGAATGAATTATGCTCGCAAATCAAGGTTTTACTGTACATTACACTAAGATACATATACCTTTGGGGCTATAATTCTTAAACTCGATTGTTCTTTTTTTTTTTTTTTTTTTAATTTTTTAACAACTTTTATTTGTGTGAGAGAGACAGGCACAGCATGAGTTGGGGACTGGCAGAGAGAGAGAGGGAGAGAGAGAATCCCAAGCTGGCCCCACGCCGCCAGCACAGGGCCTGACGTGGGGCTCTTGCTCACGAAACCACAAGATCGTGACCTGATTCGAAACCAAGAGTCGGATGCCCAGCTGACTGAGCCACCCAGGTGGCCCTAAACTTGGTCATTCTTTCTAGTCCCCCAGTTCAGTGTGGTGGATGAGGGGTACGGACTTCAGTCAAGTGTGATTGTTGTGTGCTCACTGCAGTAACACCTGCCTTCCAGCTGGATAGTTCTCTGCACTTGAAAAAGCCTCTTTCCATCATCTCATCATGCAGCTATCTATGTCTTTGCCTTCAGGTGCAGTCCAGTGTTCGAGTTTACTTTTGTCCTTCAGTGGAAAATGTCAGCCCTTTCTAGAGAGAGAACCTTAAATTAAACCATTTTCAAATGGTAATGCCATTTATAAGATACTTTTTCTTCTACTTTTTTGTAAGAAGGGTTACCTCAAAGTAAGCTCAAGTTTGTTTCACGGTACATATTCCCTCATGGTGGTTCTCGCGTGGTCAATTGAAATTCTTCAAGCTGCAGCGAACCCAAACATTTCAAGTGTTCCATTTCACAGATCATTTTAATTCTGATTTTTAGCAGAAGGAGATGATTTGGAGTTTCTCCTCTCTGTGACTCATTCTCTGGAATGAGAAGGAAGGGAGAAGGGAGGAAGGAAGGAAAGAAGGAAGACAGATAGGTAGAACCTGGAAAGGGCTGTGGATGTGAGAAGAAGCAGGTGCTAGCCCAGTCACATAACACCACTGTGCACCTTACCACTGCAGTACTCCAAACTGAGGCTGTGTGTGTCATCGCAAAGGGACCCCCCTCCCCGGC